TTTGTTATTACTCCAGCTGGTGGGATGGCTGGGAGCATAGCATTTAGGAGACCAGCTGGGGAAACATAGTGGGAAACTTCTGTTCTGCCAAAGAAACTGACCGCTCGGTGCATGGGTGGTGTGTGCTTTATAGTTTTAGCTACTCAGGAGGTCTGAGGGTGGAGGATGCTGAGCCAGGAGGAGGCAGAGGGCTGCAGGTTGAGCTGTGATCCGCACTGCCCTCTACTGGCCCACAGAGTGAGACCTTGCGTCAAAAGAAAAAAAAAAAAAAAAAAAAGAGGAAGTTCAAAAAAAAAAAAAAGAATCTAACCTAAGAAATGTAGGTAAAGAGAAGGGAAAAGTCCAGCAAGAAGTAGAACCAAGAAAGTCATATGAAAAGTAGAAATATTTTAAAATGTGAGGACAATGGTTTACAAGTATATACAAATCTTCCCAACAGAGGCTGAGAAGGTGATAACATGAAAACGCATTTAAATTCAACCGACAGTTATTGAGTGCCTGTTACCTATAAGACACTGCACCAAATGAAGCACTATCCCTTTCATCCAAAATCACAAAATATTATACAAGAGATGGATGCAGATCTCATAAATAATTGTATCATAAATCTGACTGATAGCTTCAATAATGAAGGCATTACAATAGCTAAAGGAACATAGAGAATTGAAATAACTGGATCTTGGGGTGACAAAAGTGGTGGAAGACTCTACATAAAAGGTGACATTTGAACTGTGTCCTAGAAGAGAAAGGAATTTTACTATATATAAAAGAGAATTGTAGTCAGGCATGGTGGTGCATGCCTGTAGTCCCCCTACTCGGGAGGCTGAAGCAGGAGGATCACTTGAGCCCAGGAGATGGAGGCTGTTGTGAGCTATGATTGCACCACTGCACTCCACCCTGGGTGACAGAGCAAGACCCTATCTCAAAATTAATAAATTTAATTTAATTTTAATAAGAGAATTTTGTGGTTATTCTCCATTTAATTTCTCATCCTTTGCACCACCATCTATTCCCCACCTCTCACTGCCCTGCTTCCTAACTAGTAGCCTGCCTTACCTGACTATCCTTGGTGGTTCATTGGCTTCTGGTTGAGTTTGGCCAGTGAAAGACACTGGCTGGAGATTAGAGGGCAGGAGGACAGAGAAGTTGGGATATTTCTTCACTGTGCCCATTCTGTTTCAACACTGTGATTCTTACAGTGGCTGCCACCCTCTCTGCCTACATTTCCTACTGATGGCCCCTTTCCCATGGCTCCAACTTGCACTGAGCTATGATGGCAGTGTTTCATCCCGTGGGACCTTTGGGCCTAGGGAAGATAAGAGGTTCCCACTTTGCTAGTCTTTGGTTACCTCAACCACTCTTGTGGTTTGCCTTTACCCTGACTATATCTCTGTAAATTATCCCTTCATTTGAACCATCTGAGCTGAAACCAGTCCTGATCAAAGAGAATAGTATAAGCAAAGACAAGAAGGAACTCATGACTGGGGAAACACAACTGCAATTTAGGTAACATTATAGAGATGGGAATCTAGGAATGATTTTAGAGAATTGGGGCCAGATAATGAGGGCCTTACTATGGAATTTGTATTTTATTCTTGGGTAAAAGAAATCCAATGGGGCCAGGCGCAGTGGCTCATGCCTGTAATCCCAGCACTTTGGGAGGCTGAGGCAGGCAGATCACAAGGTCAGGAGTTCACCAGCCTGGCCAACATGGTGAAACCACATCTCTACTAAAAATATAAAAATTAGCTGGGCGTGGCGGCACATGCCTGTAGTCCCAGCTACTCGAGAGGCTGAGGCAGGAGAATCGCTTGAACCTGGGAGGCGGTGGTTGCAGTGAGCCAAGATCATGCCACTGTACTCCAGCCTGGGCAACAGAGCAAGACTTCATCTCAAAAAAAAAAAAAAAAAAAAAAAAATCCAGTGGTGGTTATTGAGTAGGAATCAACAGAACTGTGTTCCAGAAAGATCTCTCTACTAACATGTGTAAGATGGAATGAAGAGGAAAGAGCCTGAAGGCAGGGAGGCCAGGTAAGAAGTGATTGCAATAAGATTCTAAAATGGAGCATTGGTTGGTGGTAGGGAGAATGGATTTCAAAAGGGTCTGCAATAAAATCTACAGGATATGGCAACTAAGTAAGAGAAGGGGCAAAGCAGAAGGGATTTTTAAAGATGACTTCCAGGTCTCCAGCTTGGCAGCATGAGAAAATGGTGACCCTATAACACAGAAGAAGAAGTTCTTAGACTTGGGGCAAAAAAAAAAAAACAAAAACACAACAGAACATTTGGGGCATAATGAATTTGATCTGGACCACATAGAAAGTGAGATACTACAGAGCATTTAGACTGAGATGCTCAGAAAAGAGCTAGACAATAGAGTCTATGTGTCAGGAATGAGGCAAGAACTAAGGATAAAAGCAGCTATTCCAGAGCTGTGGTTCTCATTCCTAGCTGCACTGAGAAGTGTTATAAAAAAGAGATGTCAGGGCCCGACCCCAGATCAATTAAACAGAATTTCTGGGTGAAGCTAGAAATCAGATGTAATTGGCCAGGCGCAGTGACTCACACCAGTAATCCCCGCATTTTGGGAGGTCCAGGGGGGCAGATCACCTGAGGTCAGGAGTTCGAGACCAGCCTGGCCAATGTGGCGAAATTCTATCTCTACTAAAAACATTTTTAAAAATTAGCGAGGCCTAAGGCCGGGCGCGGTGGCTCAAGCCTGTAATCCCAGCACTTTGGGAGGCTGAGACGGGCGGATCACGAGGTCAGGAGATCGAGACCATCCTGGCTAACACGGTGAAACCCCATCTCTACTACAAAGTACAAAAAACTAGCCGGGCGAGGTGGCAGGCGCCTGTAGTCCCAGCTACTCAGGAGGCTGAGGCAGGAGAATGGCTTAAACCCAGGAGGCGGAGCTTGCAGTGAGCTGAGATCTGGCCACTGCACTCCAGCCTGGGCGACAGAGCGAGACTCCATCTCAAAAAAAAAAAAAAAAATTAGCGAGGCCTGGTAGTGCGCACCTATAGTCCCAGCTACTCAGAGGCTGAAGCATGAGATTCACTGGAATTCGGGAGGCAAAGGTTTCAGTGAGCTGAGATCACACCACTGCACTCCAACCTAGGTGACAGAGCGAGACTCCATCTCAGAAATAAAGAAATATCAGTATATATTTACTCAGATTTAATGGGATTTCATCTGGGTTTTCCAAGAGTTCCCTAGATAATTCTTAGATGCATCCAGATTGAGAAGGACTAATCCAGAGCAAAACAGGGGCAGCCAAGGGTGGACATTTGAGAACACAAACATTTAAGGTATGACAGAGAGGTGATAAAGAGCACAAATGATAAAGAACAGCAGATAAAAGCAGCAAAGAGAATTTCATCAAAGGAGTGGACAAGCACATCACATGCCACGGAGAAGTGAAAGAAGAATGGGAAGAGGCCTCTACATTTGGTAAATAGGAGGTCATTACTGATTTCTGGGAACACAGTTTTAGTAGTTGCAAAAGCCAAGTTGCAATAGGCAAGGGGTAGATTTTAGATGAGGACCTGGAGGGAGAGAGTGTAGACTACTCTTTCAAGAAGTTTGGTGCAATAGGTAGGAGAAAACAGCCAGTAACTTACATATTAAAAAGGTGGAGAGAAAGTGTTGCTGGATTTTAAGCTAGAGCATATGAGTTGACTATGGGTAAGTAGATAAAGAAGAGAGAATGAAGATATATAGTAGAGAAGAAGTTATTGGAAGAACACGACCCTAGAACAGCCTGGGGTGGGTGGCATCAAAATTATCAGTGTAGTAGTCAACCTGGGAAAGGAATACCAAAAAGACAAGCTTTAAGTTGAGTAAAGTTGAGTGAACTCAAGCGATTATTTTCATTATGAGATGGAAGGTATGAATGACTGCTGAGAGCAAAGACGGTAGAAGGCAAAGGGGCAAGAGGCCCGGAATAGTTACTGACACTTTCCCTGTGCCAGGCACCATACTGAAAGTCTACCACATTACCTCATTTCGTAATTAAATGTGCTTTTCAAGGACAAATGCTGTCAGATGGAATAAGAAGCAAAAATTAGGCTCACTTTGTCCAATTTCAGCCATCTAGTCACCTTGCCCCTCTGGTACCATTACTAATTAATGGCCCTTTAAAGCCTAGCCTGCAATTTGTTTTAAGTTAAATGCCCATTTCTAGCTGAATAGGAAAATATTTCAGTTACGATAATATTCCTTTAGTTTAGTTTAAAGGAAAGAACCATAGAAGATCATTTAAGAAAGAGAAAAAGCCTATTATTGAGAACACTCCATTAGTGAGAGCAAAGGGAGATAGGGCTTCAAAAAAATAGTGTTTAATGGTCCAAGTTAATGGCAATCAATAAATATTTAGGAAGTGGATTTAACCTGCATATTTTTAAGTTCTTCTTTTAAATGTAAAAAAAAAAATGTAACTTTAGATTCCAAATCTATCAAGGGCTAGGACTGTGCCACCTCTTTCTACAATGCCTAGGCAATTGTGGAGGCTCAGTGGATGGCAGCTGAGGTTGAGCCATCCTGCATTGCCTGACCCTCCTATTATTATCTATGCCATGTGGTACAGGCAAGCAGACCAGCAAGCTAGAAGGCTTCTAATTTTCCAGATGGTAAATGGGAACCTCTAAATGGGAAACTTGTGACACTGGCTGTCCCTTTCTCTGGGAAACACTTTCCAAAATTGGGATCAATACATTCAGAAGTAGCTGCCAAGAGTTTCCTTCATTGACATCCAAGTGAACCAAGTTGGGATTGGGGGTAGCTGCAAGAAAAGGCAAGAAACATGACCAGCCTGCCTGAAAGAGCCTGGAGAACCCCAGAGGGATGACCCTTCAAGTGGGAGTAAAGTTGGGGATGAGGTTGCAGAAGGCTGGGAGAGGTTGGGATAAAATCACATTAGCACCCCTACTTGACTCTCCACGGCTTGAATACTGAACCACTAGAAATTGTTTCCAAAGACCCCTTGCCATAGGCTGCTGAACCATGCCTCTAAAATACTACATTATTCTATCCCTATCCATTTACTATTTTTGTCTAACCTTCTACTATGGTTTTAATGTGTGATACAGTTTGGCTGTGTCCCCACCCAAATCTCAACCTGAATTGTATCTCCCAGAATTCCCTCATGTTGTGGAGGGACCCAGGGGGAGGTAATTGCATCATGGGGGCTTGTCTTTCCTGTGCTATTCTAGAAATAGTGAATAAGTCTCCTGGGATCTAATGAGTTTCTGCTTTTGCTCCTTCCTCATTTTTCTCTTGCCACTGCCATGTAAGAAGTGCCTTTCACCTCCTGCCATGATTCTGAGGCCTCCCCAGCCATGTGGAAATGTAAGTCCAATTAAACCTCTTTTTCTTCCCAGTCTCTTGTATGTCTTTATCAGCAGCACAAGAACGGACTATTACAATGTGTCTCCTCCAAAATTCCTGTTAAAACTTAATCCCTATTGTGCTGGTATTAAGAGGTGGAGCCTTTCGGGAAGTGATTCAGTCACTAGGGCAGAGACCTCCTGAATAGATTAGTGCCTTATAAAAGGGCTAGGGAACTAGCTCAGGCCCTTTTTGCCCTTTTGCCTTATTCCAGGTGAGGACCCAGTGTTCACCCCTCCTGCCACGTGAGGATGCCCAGCAAGATGGCCCTCACCAGATATCAAATGCCAGAACTTGATCTTGGACTTCCCAGCCTCTACAACTATGAGAAATAAATTTCAATTGTTCATACATTACTCAGTCCATGGTATTTTGTTATAGCAGCACAAACAGACTAAGACACCTACTTACAAAAAACAGACTCAAAATAATCAGGCCCCCTTTTCTTGAACCCAGAACAGCATGCAGTGCTGTGGAGACGAGATCCTGGTTTGTATCACTCACCCACTACAATTTCAGCTCCAAGCACATAAGGTAATTAATACTCACTATATTTTTTTGTTTTTTGTTTTGAGACAGAGTCTCCCTCTGTTGCCCAGGCTAGAGTGCAGTGGTGCCATCTTGGCTCATTGCAACCTCCACCTCCCAGGATCAAGCGATTCTCCTGCCTCAGCCTCCTGAGTAGCTGGGACCATGGCGTGCGCCACCATGTCCAGCTAGTTTTTTTCTATTTTCAGTAGAGACAGGGTTTCACCATGATGACCAGGCTGGTCTCAAACTCCTGACCTCAAGTGATCTGCTTGCCTCAGTCCCCCAAAGTGCTGGGATTACAGGCATGAGCCACCATACCTGGCCACTCACTAGATATTTACAGAATGTTTGAACCTTGCTTATATGATGCTGCTTTCTTGTATTTCTGCATGTTATTTTTATTTGTTTAAAAAGCTTCTTATGTTGGCAGAGCGAGGTGGCTCACGCATGTAATCCCAGCACTTTGTGAGGCCGAGGCAGGCAGATCACCTGAGGTTAGGAGTTGGAGACCAGCCTGACCAATATGATGAAATCCCATGTCTACTAAAAATACAAAAATTAGCCAGGCATGGTGGAATGTGCCTGTAAATCCCAGCTACTATGGAGGCTGAGACAGGAGAATCGCTTGAACCCAGGAGGTGGAGGTCGCAGTGACCTGAGATCGTGCCACTGCACTCCAGCCTGGGCAACAAGAGTGAAACTCCATCTAAAACAAAACAAAACAAAACAAACAAAAAACGCTTCTTGTGAAATTTTTTTAAAAGTATTACTATATTTTTCATAATTCTTTACATGGAATAGTCAAAGAAAAATTTTGATGCTGTAAGGGTCACTATGTAGATGGTTGGCTAATCTTCTAGTAGACCTATTTCACCTATAGTCCTGGAAGTATTCTAACATCGGCAAACTGAGGGAGTATTAATGTGAAACAGACAGGGCTTTCTGTCGGTTTCCAAAATAAACAGCTTTCAGGTGAAATTATTATGGCTGGAAGACTTTATGGGTGACATCACCTGACATTTACTTGTGTTTTTTTTAGGGAAGCCTCTATTTCTCTCCTAGAGTCTTGTTCTTCCCTCTTACTTACATCCTGGGCAGGTAGATACAAAGCAAACATTTTCATCTCATTTCCACTCCAAAAATCCAAAATGATGACAAGATCAGCAATAGAACCCACACATTTGGCTTTATTGCAGATTCCATCCTACTTAATCTTTACCCACTGGCCCTCTGCTCCTGGTGCCTGGGGTTGAAGAAGATTGGCTTGAAACAAACATCAGCTGTCTCTCAACCTCTTTCTTAGCAGCTCACCTTCATCATCATACCCACTTGGTAGGGGGACTCCTAAACTATAATAACAAGAATAGTAAAGTTAATCTTATATAGACTCTTTCATACAGCTAGCTCCATTACAACATGTTTGCCAAGTTAAGAGTTGTAGAATTACAGTGCAGCACTACTGAGTTAAATAATAAGTAACAGCTGATACTAATAATTAGCTTAATTTGTGGTCTGGTAGAACTGTCACAACTGAGGCAGCTCTCCCTCCACCCCTCATCTCTCTGTCCTTTCCTTCTCCCTCCTTCTTTGGAAACAGCCACCAAGTGAAGTGCTGAGATTGTCATATGACTCACCATAAATTCAAGTCACTTATTCTTATAACCTGTAGCTTTATAACCTTATTATATCAAAAATTTCCAACTTCTTTGAAGTTGCATCATCCTATCATTGTTTAATTTCACAACTGGCTCTCCTGATGTCATGCACTCGGTGGGAGGGGCATACTAGGCTAGATTCAGACCTCTTGAGAGTTTGCAACATCCTCAGAAAGATTCTTGCTTTTTACAAAATCGAGGTTGACAATTACTACTCTGCACAGTAACACTGTAAAGAGGATCCTCCTTTCCACTTAAACCAAGGAATTAGAAAGCAAACAAATCAGCAAGGCCATACTGGGATCACATAGCAGAAATTGGGAATGACTATTTTTCCAATGTCTATGGATGGTGACTTTCCATGAACACTCTGATCTCACTATAATCGGAAAGAATTCCAAAATATTATTACATAAACCTGATTTTAAAACCCATGAAGCTTTGATTTAACACAGAACGCCCATTTTATCACATTTGGGTTTTTAAAATTTTTTTTATTTTTATCACCAGGCAAGAATATCACATTTGTCAATCACTTATCTCCCCATTTACTGACCTTAGTCTCTTAAGTCCTGGAGCACAATATGGACTTTTCCTACAATCAAATAACCTGGTGACCAAACTCTCCAGTTCCACCAAAGCTGCACCTTTTGCAAAATATACTCTAGGAAGCCAGAGGGAGTTTGGACCTAGAGGCTTTTCATATTGTCTGCTGCAGCATGTAGGATAATTGTCAGGGTGTCCTCTATGCTCTGATAAAACTGCCAACTTATCTGAATGAAATGTATCTCAATAACACTCCATGCTGGAGAGGGGGGCCTGAGCAGGAAGCAGCAGTAACATTTTATGCACCTTTTATTATTGCATAAAAGTGATTAACTGACAATTTATTACTAGGTTAAGACATCAAAACAATTAAAAGGAACATAAAAATCTAACATTGCCAGGCTCTTCCGGGCTACCTGAGAGTAACTGACATATCCATCTTTTTCTCCCTCACATGAAACTCTTCATAGGAACTCACCTTGCTCTCCAATACCTCCCTACCTAGAGGTGACAGAAGAGCCCAGGTCTGAGTCCCATCAAATGTGGAGTTGTTTTTTGTCAGGGGAAGAGATCTCTTAGTTTTCTTGAAGATGAACTTGTCTGCTATGAAAGAAAAAAAAAATCAGCGCTTTTAATAACTGTGGCCAGGGCACCGTGGCTCACGCCTGTAATTCCAGCACTTTGGGAGGCCAAGCGGGGCAGATCACTTAAGGTCAGGAGTTCGAGACCAGCCTGGCCAACATGATGAAACCCCATCTCTACTAAAAATACAAAAACTAGCAGGGCATGGTGGTAGGCACCTATAATCCCGGCTACTTGGGAGGCTGAGGCAAGAGCATCACTTGAAACCAGGAGGTGGAGGTTGCAGTGAACCAAGATTGCACCACTGTACTCCAGCCTAGGTGACAGAAAGAGACTCTGTCTCAAACAAAACAAAACAAAACTGTGGATGAAACGAGAGATTTTCATTTCTTGCCTCTACCACCACCACATATTCTTCTTGATTTTGTTTGGCTGATACTAAAATCAGGTTCACAATATTGTATTTGCTCCATCTCTCTCCACCAAAACAGAAGACTTTCTGCCGACTGTCTTCCTAGTCGCACTGCCCTGTAATATTTGCTAGGATAATAATCATGGAAAACTATACTTGACAAATAGAAATTTTCTTCTGCAGAAAGTTCTTTGGTTTTACTCTATGCTTTCCAGAATACACACCTTTTCTTATTATTTTATTTTATTATTTTTTTTTTTTGAGACAGGGTCTCACTCTGACTCCCAGGCTGGAGTGCAGTGGCGTGATCTCGGCTTGCTGCAACCTCCACTTCCTTGGTTCAAGCGATTCTCTGGCCTCAGCTTCCTGAGTAGCTGGGATTACAGGTGTGCGCCAACATGCCCGGCTAGTTTTTGTGTTTTTTGTAGAGACGGGGCTCACCATGTTGGTCAGGCTGGTCCTGAACCCCTGGCCTCAAGTGATCTGCCCACCTCGGCCTCCCAAAGTGCTGGGATTACAGGCATGAGCCACTGCACCCAGCCACAGAATACAAACCTTTTAGATTCTGAATTCAAAATATTCCTAAGAGGTAATGTCTGACAAACATCAGTTTGAATACCAGTGACACCACTTACTTGCTACAAGGCTCTCTGAGCCGATTTCATCCATAAAATGGAGCCAAGTCAAGTGAGAGCAATTAGTACTCCCACCCTATTCTTTTCATTTTAGACAGGGTCTTGCTCTGTCACCTAGGCTGAAGTGCAGTGGCACAACCGTGGCTCACTGCAGCCTCAACATTCTGGGCTCAAGTGATCTTCCCACCTTAGCCTCCCAAGTAGCTGGAACCACAGGCACGCACCACCACAACCAGCTAATTTTTAAACTTTTTTTGTAAAGATGGGGTCTTGCTGTGTTACCCAGGCTGATCTCAAACTCCCAGTCTCAAACGATCCTCCCTCCTCAGCCTTCCAAACCCACCCCACCTGGTCCTCCCACCCTATTCTTGGTATTTATGTCCATGTCTTAATAATGGTGATCAGCCTGAATTTTATTGCCTACAATGTTTGCCACATGTGGCAACTAGTTTAATTACGATGACATGAGTTGGCAGAAAATAATTTTTTGGAAGTAAGCAGATATCTGAAATTTCCTGGGCTCATCTTAAAGGGTATATCGAGGAACTAAACAAAGACAAGGGTTCTCAGACCTCATATACCCTTAGGATTTCTCACCTTCCACTTAAGAAATGACCACCCCACCCCTGTGTTTATTAGTGACTCAAGAGCGGAATAGTTAGGTTTACAACTCACCCTTGGTAAACCGGTGCGGTGGCTCACACCTGTAATCCCAGCACTTTGGGAGGCAGAGGCCGGCAGATCACGAGGTCAGGAGTTTGAGACCAGCCTGGCCAATATGGTGAAATCCCGTCTCTACTAAAAATTTAAAAAAAAAAAAAATAGCTAGGCATGGTGGCACACACTTGTAGTCCCAGCTACTTGGGAGGCTGAGGCAGAAGAATCACTTGAACCCAGGAGGTAGAGGTTGCAGTGATCCAAGATTGCACCACTGCACTGCAGCCTGGGTGA